CCCSAGTGCCAGCAGCAGCGAGGAGCGCCGCGTTCGCCAAACACAAAACAAAGCTTGGTGCTGAATTCAAACCGTGCCTTGGCCTTGCAGCAATCCCCCAGTTCTGCAAGGAAATTGCTGCAAATCTGGGGAGTTTGGGGCAGATGGATCTTGCTCAGTCTGTGCTGGAGGCAGCCCTCTGAGATGAGAGCTGGTGTGGGGAAAGCTGCGGGAGCTTGAGCTGCTTTAGCAAGAAGGCGTCTAAAAGGTGAGATCTTGGCCTTTGTGGAGGTGGTAGCAGAGCTCCCATTGCTTGTGCTCCCATTGCTTGTGCTCCCATTACTTGTGCTGGAATCTGTGTTTCATTAATTAGCCAGAAATGGCAGTACCTGCCCCTGAAGAGTTGTGACTCCGCAGATGTGTGAGCAATTTTAGCTGCATAACAGTTTAGGTAACTGAATGCTGTGATGTCTTCATGTAGAAATATTCTCAATAAAAGCAGCTGGTTTTCCTATTTGACTGGTATATTCAGGATAAATCCTCCTGCCCCTGTGACTTTTAAAATTTTATGGAGGAACTTGAAATTCCATAGCATTCTTTTCAAAATGCTTAAAAGCCATGACATGTTCCTATTTATACTGAGCTCTGTAAGTGTTTATTCTTCTCTTTTCTTTTTCTTTTCCTWTGTAATATAAAGCCTAAATTATGTTGGTGAAGATTACAGGAACTTCCTTRTGAAGAAATTGATACTTTTTAGTGAGGGAGCAGTAATTCAAAGGTCAAATAAGGTCTTTTCAKTTTTTTCCTTTGAGGTGTTATTTAGATGTTGATGTCTTGACTTATTTATCTCCAGCCAGACCAAACAAATTTCTTTCTGCCTTTTCTTCAGGCCTGCCAGGCATCCCTGTGCCTGGTCCCAGTGACAGGGGTGTTTGAGGAGCAGGGTTAGGGACAGTCTAATCCTTGCTCAGGTGGGCTCAGTTTGGCTGGGAGAGTTGTTAAAACCAGTACCAGCCTTTGGTTGTTCTTGTTGCCTCTGGTTGCTGTAGCCCGATGATCTAATACAATGGGTATGCATCTTATTTGCCCCCCTGCGGGTGACATTGTTCTTGTTTTTAGTTAAAAGAAGGAAGTTTTTCTCGTTTGCCCGGTGACTCTGCCCTTCTGGAATGAAGATGAGTAATGCTGGCATGGCTCCATGCACCTGCTGGGTGCCACCCTCCCTCCCGGATCACCTGAGCCACGGGCAGCAGATGGAGCAGGCAGGGCTGGCAGGGCTGGATGGAGCTGGGGAGGTGTTTATGGTTGGAGCCTGGAACCTCCTGGTGGTTAGGAGCAGGTGCTAAAGCGCTCTCACGGCGCTGGGACGTGTTGTGTGCTGCCTTGCAGGTCTGGCTGTTGGCGCCAGACGTTGGGAACCTTTATTCTCCAGGGCTATCCTGGTGTGTATTCTCTCCCTTCCTCCTCCTCCTCCTTGGGTAGGACTGAAAGGAAGCAAAGAGTGATAACCTGAAGAGTTCAGTGATAGCTTGCACTGGTTATCCAATAATTTGGGAGCTCGCCCCTGGGAGCCTGATGCTCCCATCCATCCAAAGGGAGCGTGTGTGCAGAGCAGCCTTGTTGCAGTGTCCTGGGGACACCCAGGTGGAGTGAACTGTGCAGGATGAGGGCTCAGCCTGCTGGGCTCTGTGTGGGCCATGGAGCAGCAGAGTGTTTCCATTAGCCAGGGCTGGATCAGCGTGGGAGCATCGCCTGGGGACCTCACAGCTGGTCCTTTCCGTGCTGTCTCTGTGTTCCCCTCCTCTGTTACAGTGTGCAGGTCTTAAGATAACACTGCACCTAAAAAAACAACCTGAAACCTCATCTACCTGATGGCATCCCATCCCCTGCTGCCARCCTTTTAAGAAAAACACAGCTTTGCAGAATTTGCTGCTGGAGTTTGAAGTCACTGAATCATTTTGTGTGTGAGTGACACAAAACTGAGGAGTAAAACTGAAAGTGCTTAACTGTACTCCAGCCCTGATGAGGTGGTGAACCTGTTCCCATCCCACCTGATGTGTAAGCTAATTAGCTCCTTGGCTAAGCAGTAATTCTGGGCAAGTATGCACAGGCTGTCCTCACAGGGACTCTTGCATTCCTCTCTGTTTCACAAGCTAAAGAAAGATGCTTCTCTTTGCTTGTGAGGTTATTATTGCTCCATGCAGGTTAATTGAGCTATAGCATTGGAGCCACTCATCAAACAGTGGTGAGTCGCTCACTTGTCTAAGCTTGTTTATTTTTATAATGCGAAAAATATTTGCATGCTGCACAGAAATGTGCTGCTTTGGTTCCCTACAGCCTGGCAGTATTATCATTTTAAATTCTTCATTAATCTTCYTTCCTCACGAGGGACTGGCAAGGTTCCTGTGCATAATTGCATGATGTTTAAGACAGAAGCCTCTGCTACTGGGTTTTTACACAATGCCCTGCAAACATGAGGCTTTTCTTCCTTAAATAGTACCTACACTGCTCTCCTTTTGTGCTCATTCTTGATCTCAGCATGGTGAAGCACTATTTGCAATTCCTGTGTTAGTTCTACCAGTTCTAGATTCTGATGTTTCCTCAAGAGCTTTTCCCTCAAGTAACCAGGAGTAATTTCAGACTAGAGGTTAGAATGAGGTGTAAAATGATAGAGCTGTGATGCTTGRGAGCAAATTGCAAAATTGGTTCAGCCTGGGAACTCTCACTGTGGTTCCTTGGATGAGATTTGATGTAAATCTGAATTTCCCCTGGAAAAGCAAAGCTTTGGAAAGTGCACCCTCTAATCCATACAGTTTGGCAGAGTTGTTGGCAGTCTGATTTCAGCCCTCTCCATCATAATAGATGTAGGCTAAATCCCCAAATATGTCTGTTTAAATTACCTACAGAACCTTTCCAATTTCCTTCCAGCTCTATCATAACAACTTTTCCAGTGCATCTTGCTAATTTCCATCTTTGGCACACTGAAAACCGAAATTGCTGGAAGAGCCTGACACAAATAGTGTTTGGTGTCCAAATACATAACACATGGGCTTCAGCACTGATTGTACTGTTCATTTTTGTGTTTGGTTAATAGAAAAGTTAACTCACTGGTTCTGCCAGGAGTTGCCAGCCTGCTCAAAAAGCAGATTCCAGGAATCCTGCCCCCCAAGTTGTACAAGRTTTTCTTTGTTAATTAAAAATAATGGGATAAAACTGGAAAAAATAAGCAACCAGTTGGTATTAAAAGAAAGTGGCCGGAATATCTTCATATTGTGTCTGAGCCCACCTTTTGCTTTGGATTTCCAGGCTGGTGTCTAGTTTACACCCACACTAAAATTAGTAATATTCAGTTCCAGCAAATGTTTTTAGTGTGCACTGTGCCCTCCCTTCATCAGCTCAGCAGAACGAGCTGGTAGTGCTGAGGAGTGAAACTCTGCATGTGAAATGGTTCCTGGAGCATTTGAAGGAGTTAAACGTGCACAGATTGGATTTGTCTATTGAAAAAAAATCTTTAAGGCAGAGAGGCAGAATCTCAAGCTGGGTTGTATCTTTGTATTAAAAAAATAAACAACCCCCCCTCCCCACCTCCTTAGATTTTTCCAGTTGAGACAAAAGAAATCTTTGGGTGGAAAGGCAGCATCGTATTGCATAATAAAAGCCTTTTTATGCACTAATAAAAAGGGTTGCTCAGGGCAGCTTGGTTAAAAAAAAAAATAAAAAGAAGAGTCAGTGATGATTCTGGTGTGAGTGGGACGAGGAATCCTTAACTTCTGTTGTGCAACACTGGGAAAAGAGGCTAGAAATTGCTCTAGTTATCTGCTATCTTTAATGCCTGGTTTAAAGGTTCTTTACTGCATATTTGCTGGCAGCTGTTTTCAATATATCCCTCTCGAGCTAAGTCACCAGTTAAGAATTTGACATTAGCTGTTTTTTTCAACCACCATCTTGAAGTACCACCCCACACAACACTGCCTTGTTCTCTCCTTAGATATTGTTCATGTGCCTTGAAATTGCTGTTGACACCTCAAGTATTTAACTTGCAGATCTGAGATAGTTTTTGCTGGGTGTGGATTTGTGCCCTAATAGAGTCAGAGACAGGAGTATCCACGTCTGCATTCCTTCACTGCATCTGTTCGCTTTAGCTTTTGCAGCATTCCAGGAAATTAAGTTAAATTATATGTATCAATGAATATTTTTAGTTTCACTAGTTCTGTTTTCATTGCCTTTCCTTAAAGTATGGACAAACTGTGAGCACAAATATGTTCCACAAATTTGCATTGCTTGCCTTTTTCTTCAGGACACCTTCAGTAACTGCTYCTTGTAACRAGCCTAAATACCCATTGTTCTGTATTCTCCYGCTTCTCCCWTCAATGGTTAAAGTTTCTTCACTGCCTCATATTCTGAAAGAGAAAAGTAACGTAATTAAAGAGTGCTTTGGGAATTAGAGCCGTGCTCTGCAATGTATTTCTGGCATAAACTCTGTCAGTGTCCTTTTCTTCCCCTGACTTTCCCAGTCTGTAAAATAAAGCTAATATTCACAAACTGATCATTCTCACAGTCGTTTCTGAGGCACAGTGTGTTGCAGTTTATCAAGAATTTCACTGTGTCACTGTCCATCAGAGGATTTCTGCTGACACAGTTCAAAATACTCAGCACCACTGGCCAAGGAGCCATGAGCACAGGGCACCCTCATCTGTGCTGCAGCTTTCGTTCTGAGCAGAAAATAAAACAATGGAGTTAAAGAATTAGCGGGTTTTAATCACTGTTTCACTGGAGGCACAGATGGGACAAAGCATTACTTGGCAACATTTAATCTTGGAGCAGAAATGGTCATGATTAAAGCAGCAGCTGGAGTGGATTGCTGGGGACATGGGGGTTCAGTCATCCTAAAGGGATCAGAATTKTTGGGCTCTGGGAGAAAACAAGAAGCTGCAAAAGGAAAATCTGAAAAATGGGCCAAGGTTTGTTATTTCTRGGGTCTCATCTGCTGATTAAAATGATGTTTTCAATGCTTTCCTCAGAATTATTTCGGGAGCGAGGAGAGTATCAAGTGATCTGGCCCGCTGAAGAGGAGCCTGAAGCCATCTCTGAGTGGAGATTTTGGATTTGGGAGAGGAAGGCTGAGTGAATCCCCCCATGTGGCAGAACTGCTCCTCCTTACCAGGCAACTCCAAGTGAAGGACAAAGGTATGTGCCACTTCAAACAGGATTTCAGAGAAGTCACATTCCAGGTCGGCTAACAGGGCCTGAATTCCTGCCCTGGTGAGCYGCCTGCAATGAAGTGGATTTTAACTTTCTCTCCATGAAGGTTTGCAGGAGGCTTTTGTTTGCCCAGTGTGMGTCCTTGTGTTGCAGGGCTTTGCTCCCCATAGGAAAGGGGGAGGCTGTAGAGATACAGCACAAAGCAGACMCTTCAGGCCTCCTGATTCTGCTACAGAACAAACTGTTGGGASAGAGTTACCTTTTGCTAAAAGGACAATGTAATACAGAAAAAAGGTGTCACAATAAAATGCTAGGACACCAGCGCATGTTCTGCTGTCAGGGCAGGGCCACGGCTTGGCCAGCGAGTGAGGCATACTCTATTCTSAGCTGTTCTAGCTCAAAAGTAGCTCTGCTTTCAGTTACATGTCTCAGAGGTATCATTAATTTTTGATATTTCAACTCATGCGAGGCCAGTGGGCTCGAGTTTCCATGACACACTCCTGAGTCCGCTGGGAGACCCAGCAAAAYGTAATTGCTGTTGGTCACTGGCTTAATCTGTGCTTAGGATGTGCCTGGCATMGGCTCTTTGTGTTTCTCTCCTTGGGACACAGTGTTTTTTCCTGCCACCCAGAGGTCTTTTTCTGTTCCTTAGATCAGACAACTCTTTTTTCTCCCCTTGCATTTGCATGCATTCCGCTGAGGATATTTAGATGTGCGAGGATTTGGTTGCCTTTGTATAGCAGGAAGTTCCTGAGTCCTGGCTTGTGCCGTGCCTGGGGTTTTCTGCAGCAGGGAGAAGAGGTGCTGATCTCACTCCGGGCATTTCATAACCCTGAAAACCTGCTGGCTGACTAGGTATTCGTGAATTGCTTTATCTAAGCTAAGAGATTTCTTTACTTCTTTTGAACCATATGCTATCTCAATGGGCCTCCTTTTTGTTTTTCCTTTCCCTTAAAACTGACAAGCTGCTGATTTCACACTTTAATCCTTGTCTGCCTACAAATACGGGAAGTGTATTTCACTGTTGGTAGCTCTAAGTATAAAGCAAACAGGTTTCAGGCATTTTTACCATCATCCTGTGAATTCCAGGTCTCCTTTTTGCCGGAGATGCTGTCTGAGGTATTTGGCATGCATCCCTGCAGCTCGAAGTCGATTGATTTGCCTATAAMCTTCCAAGTCACCTTTCATCACCTTTCTGAGCCTTTGCCCCCCGGGCATGCAAGTCCTCCTTAGGTCAAGGGCCTTGATGACCCCCATTGTTATGGGAACCTTTGGTAATCTAACCTGCTTTTTTCTGTATTTAGAGCCATCACTCTTGAATATCTCCTGCCCAGGCGCTAATAACCGTGTCTCCTTTCCTTAGGTCAAGGGCAGCTTTTACATTCCACCCCAAAGGCACCACGGTTTGAGATGAGGAATTCAGAAGAGCAAGCAGCTACGACAGTTTTACAGCGCCTGCTGCAGGAGCAGCTCCGATACGGGAACCCCAATGACAACCGCAACCTCCTCGCCTTACACCAGCAAGCCACGGGCAATGCCCCCCCTTTCGGCARCGCCGGCAGCCCGGCCCCTCCGAACGAAGGGCTGAGCTCGCAGGACCACCAGCTCGTAACTCATGCTGCCCGCCAGGAGCCCCAGGGCCAGGAGATACAGGTGGACAACAGCATCATGGAGAAGCAGCTGTCGCCGCGGCTGCAGGCCGGCGAGGACCTGCCGACCTACGAGGAGGCCAAGGTGCAGTCGCAGTATTTCCGGGGCCAGCCGCACGCCAGCGTCGGGGCCGCCTTCTACGTCACGGGCGTCACCAACCAGAAGATGAGGACCGAGGGGCGGCCCACGGTGCAGCGGGTGAGCCCGGGGAAGGTGCACCAGGACGAGGGGCTCAAGGACCTCAAGCAAGGCCACGTGCGCTCGCTGAGCGAGAGGCTGATGCAGCTGTCGCTGGCCACCAGCGGCGTCAAGGCCCACGCGCCCGTCACCAGCGCGCCGCTGTCCCCAATGTCRCCCCTCTCTCCCCAGCAGTCCAGCGACCCTTACAAAAGTTCTGGCTCCAACGAGTTCTACAAGAACTCGGTGCAGCCCCCYGCCCAGCCCGGCATGAAAGGAATGGAACAGCGGGGGCCTCCCCCGGAGTATCCCTACAAAAACGTGTCCACCCCGTCTATGAACTGCAAACCTCAGGACTCGGGACATTTCTATAGTGACCATCGCATGAGCCAGCAGGGAAGAGCTGATGGGCCCATGATGAGGTATCAGCATCCCCCTGAGTATGGGTCAGTCAGGTAAGCCAGACCTTATCACAAACCCCATGAGAGCCACGTAGGCAAAGCCAATAAAACACTCAGTCCATCACCTTCACTCCTGAGGCAGGTGCTCCTTCAACAGAGATCCCATCTTCGTTATGTGAGGTGACATGTTGTGTTCAGCTTGCAGGAACTGCAAGTCCTTCCTTGTCTGGAAGGACTGTTACCTGCTTCAGTAGCTGACTGAGAGGCCTGACTCTTTCTTACAAAAAAAAAAAAATCCCAAAGAAGCCAACTTGATTTTATGGTATGGGGAAGTTTAATGCYGAGGCTCCAGAGCCTCACAAAAGCTTTGCTACAAAAGCCAAAGTTATGGTGTGATTCATTGTAGAAACTTGCAGTTACTTATTGCAAGACTTAAGCTTCTTTAATTGCATCTGCCAGGTGCAAGATTTTTCTTAAAACTSCATCACATAGGAAAGGAGAAAGTGAATAAAAGCAGTAATAGTACAGGTAGCAAAAATCACCTTAGAGATTTTCCTGCAGAGTTTTTACAGTTTTATTTGCAGTGGACTGAAGTGTAGGAGAGGAAAATTGAATATGCTTTGTGCCTCATCCCAGACTTGCTTGTTCAGCTTTTGCTCATTTTTCTTACATTTGAAATCTCAGTCTGTTCTGGTTSCCTCTAGATTAGGAGCTGGATTTGGCTTGAGCCAAATGTCTATGTGGGAAGATGACGTTTTATTAAGGTGGGCTTCATGAAATCCCAGCTTTACTTTACCTGTTTCCATACCATGTCATCTCTGCCTGAGATCAGGTGGGATCTGGTGTAGTGATTTTGGCCTAATTTTGAAGCCAAAAGGGTAATTCAGAGGATGGATGTAAATGGAGAGGTCTCTGTGCATTTGTGTTTGCACATTTTGTGGTGTGTTTCGAGGGGAGAAGCCAGTCAGTATTCGGGAGCAGGGTCTGAGCTTTAGGGAGTTTGAATCTGCACAGAACCTTCCCAGTCCTATGAGGAGCTATTTTCAGAGTTTGTCCACCATTGTTTGTGATCTGAAATGACTTCAGCAGCATACAAGCCTGATGAAAAGGCCCTTTGATCTGGCTAAATAAATAATAAAGAGGCCAGGAAAAGGGGAAGTAAAGGGTTTAGGGGGGGTAATGATTGTAGAAGCTYGTTGCAAACGTTTTTGAAAATTCAAAGGCCTCAAACTTCTGTGCAGAGGGGACAAGGAAACAGCTCCCCGATGATTCTGCTGCATCAGAAATACTCATAATATTCTATGCAGTGAGACGTAGCCTGCTCGCTGTTTAAGGGAGAGGTATTTGAAAACACGCCAGCAGTCAGCTCCTCTAGACAGGGTGATTTTTGTCTGTATTGGATGGATCCTGGCTGCTTTGAAAGAACATGGTGGGGGGAAGGAGGGGGAGGAGAAAGGTTCAGCTGGCAAGGTTTCCAGTAGGGGAAGCAACTGAAATTTGTCTTCAAAGCATTGGGAATCTAATGAGGTTACTTTTTAACCTAAATAGCTGCACAGAGGAGAGGTTTCCTTTGCAAGCAAATGCTGGAGCAGTGGAACAATTGCAAGACTAATCCATAAATTACAGAGCAGCGTAGCAAAGGAAGGGAGCGAGTCCTCTATTCCCCTCCCTCTCCCACACGCTTTAAGAGAAACTGTCATTTAGACAAGAAACCTTCTGTGTTGCTAAAGGTGCAGCTGTGGGGATTTTAAAGGCAAACTGCTCCGGAGAGAGCGTTTGCCTTGCACCGGGAGYGTCCTTGCAGTCTCCAGTTTGCCCGCGTTTATCGGGATTCATTAGGATTGGTAAATGTGTGCATTTTTTGAACTGTGCGTCAAGGAAACAAAGCCCCTTCTCTCYGCTGCCGAGGCCACACCCTTTTCTGCGGGTTTTCCCCCTCATTGTTCGGGGGAATTTGAGGGTGACCTAATGATGCGGTTAAATAAAACTCGTTGAGCAAGATAAACATTGGGGAATTCACAGCATTCTCATGCTTCACCCTCCCCAGTCTGGGAAAGGAATGGGCTGTGTGGTAAGTTTAAACCAGTCTGCAAACAGTTTGCCTCACCTGCTCCTGGGCGGTGTAAGGTTGGGAACGGTGGATGTTGGTAATGATGTTGGTTTAATGTAAATACCGGGCATGCCGGAGGCATCTCTGCTGTTATTTGGAAATCTAAAAGAAACTTTAGAAGAGGGCTGGCTGCATGTGGAGCCCCAAAGTTCTGTTCTCTCCCTGGTACCTCAAATGCACTTTAGGTGATGAAAACAGCCCTGCAGGTCTAAGGGCAGTGCATGGTGCATTGGG